TGATCAAGCATAAATATTATTAAGATGTTACCTTTTGAGTGTGAAGAGCGTATCCATTGTAATCTCTTTAATTTGGCATGTTTCTCTTAGATACTGGTTTCTGGGTCAAAAGATAGATAACTAATAACAATACCTTGGTTCAGAAGATTGTATTAACTTCCAGAATGCCCACACCTGTCATCCCAGCACTTTGGGAGGACAGTGCCAAAGGATCGCTTGAGCTCAGGAGTTGGAGACCACACTGGGCAACACAGCGAGACCCCATCTCTATAAAAGTAAAAAAAAAAATCAGCTGGGCACGGTGGCACATACCTGTGGTCCCAGTTACTTGGGCCTGGGATGTCCAGGCTGCAGGGAGCCGTGATTGCACCACCACACTCCAGCCAGGACAACAGAATGAGACCCTGTCTCAAAAACAAGAAAAACAAAAAGTGAAAACAAACAAATCCAGAGTAGGCTTTAACAAGCAGGCAACAGCAAATGACCATAGTTTCTTAGAAAGATAATGTGTGTTTACGAGCCCTGTTCTGCCCATTGTCTGGCACTGTTCAATCTAGATTTACTCCCATCCCCTCACCTTACTCTACATATAAAATTAGGCTGTGCATCTTAAGATGGTAGACTATCATTTTTGTACTTTTGCATTTTATTTAAACATATTAACTGGAGAAAATCAAATTTGTAGCATTAAACATAAAACCTCAGCGTTATAATTGGTCATTCCCTCCTCTTGTCAACGTATTACAACGTTTTTGCTTTGCTCTGTGACATGACTCAGCGCTTACATTCTACTTCCCATGAGAAAAAAGTCCAATTCATCCCTGCCGCTGCTCCTGAAACACACTTGGGTTTCCTGTAGTGATGTGTAGTTTGTTAGACAACTTTAGGTCATCTACTTTTGTCTCGGCCATCAGCATATTAACATGCTCACTGATCTAGGCTTCTTGGTGTGAAAGGCAAGATTTAGGAAGTTAATGTGTACATGTAAAATAAAAATCAATGAAAACAAACGTCTTCCTTAAACATTACCTTTCCATGGAAAGCCTGGTATCTTCTGCCTTTCACCTAAGTCTTCAGAGTGGGCACTTCCTCCCCATGACTGACTGTTACCCATTCTCACTGCAGTAGGCGGGCTAACTCCTTTACAGCCGTGGCCTTGTAGTTGATCTGAACAGGATGAGCATCTCTTTGGAAACAGGTCTCCTCTGACTGCCTGAAGGAGAAGGCTGTGTTGGAGACAGTGCTCTCCTAAGTCGATGGATAGCACCGATGGTGCCCCAGACATGCTGACCATTTGTGAATGGAGACTGGAACAGTTTGAGAAAGGCACTCCTAGAATCGTTTCTAATATTACTTGATGAGAGGTCAGCAAACAGGAAGCTTGTAAAAAATTGGGAGACAACTTTTTGCCATTATCATGGACAAATCTATCACTGCTACCCCAAATATTGAGCCTCAGAGACCAAGTCCTCAGATTCTGAGGCTCTGTGGTATGATTTCTCTTCAGCAGAGCATCTGGCGAACCCTTCGTAGGACAGACGGACAGTAACCCTCGTGAGAAGTGAGGGAACTTGTAGACTAGGTCTCCAGGAGCGCTGTGCAGTAGAAATAGAATGTGAACCACCATCACAATGCAGACCCCATATGCAGTTTCAGTTTTCTAGTAGTCACAGTAAAAAGGAAAAGGAAATTTTAATAGTACACATTATTTAACCTAATCTATTCAAAATATTATTTTAACATGTAAATACAAAAGTTAGTCATGATCACTTTCCAATCTCTTTAAACTGGATTTTTAAAATCTATCTACTTGACACAGTCTCAGTTCTGACTAACTACTGTTGAAGCACTTAATCGCTACATGTAGCTAATGGCTACCATAGTGGGGCAGTGCAGGTCTGGGGGATGTGGAGTCAGGTAAACACAAACCTTGACACTCAGAACCAGTACTGTGGAATTGATGGTAATTACTCCAAATGCTCATCTCTTATCTTTTCACGTCTGAATTTGCAAACCAGATAGCAGTAAAATGGCCAATCCTAGTGATAGAAATGGAGTTCAGTCAGTGGAGAAGGGTCCGTTGATACCAGATCCTCTACCACAGCCATGCACAGCTGAACAGAAGACCCCTCTGATTCCCAGGGCAGGAGTTGGGGTGGAAGGCTGGGCATTCAGGCAGAAAGTCTGAAAGAAATACATCAATGTAGTCATTTCAGTAATAAATGTTGTGAATAAATAAAACAGGATAATAAGAGAGAGATGGGAGTACTCTTCCTGCTCACTCTGACAGTTGAGTGAATCTTCTGGGAAGTGAGTTGTGCTGTGGAATGTGATTTTCATTCAGCCTGAGAGCCAGGCACAGTGGCTCACGCCTGTAATTCCACACTCTGGGAGGCTGAGGTGGGCGGATCACTTGATGTCAGGAGTTTGAGACCAGCCTGGCCAACATGATGAAACCGCATCTCTACTAAATACAAAAATTATCCAGGCCTGGTGGCACACATCTGTAATCTCAGCTCCTTGAGATGCTGAGGCATAAGAATTGCTTGAACCCAGGAGGTGGAGGTTGCAGCAAGCAAGACCGCCCCACTGCACTCCAGCCTGGGCGACAGAGCCTCAAAAAAACAAGCGAACAAACAGAAAATTCAGCCTGAAGAAAATGCTTCTTCCAGTCCAGCGTGACTAAAGAGATCCTCATTTTTAAGAGAGAATTTCATTTAAAAACACAATACCCAGAGAAATGGAAGAAGCTGGTTTCTATGTGCTTCAAATAACATTTTGGTGTAAGGCCTCAGATGACTTCTTTCGTTCAGGATACCACAGCTGACACAGCTAAAATATGAAGTATGGCCTAAATCATACACAGTGAGCTGATAACTTAGGAAATATTCTTTGTTTTAACCAAGGCAAACAAATTAAAATTTTAATCTGTTTTATTTTCATATTTGCTTAAAAACTAATGACTTCCAAAGAATTTGGTCTCAGCTACATGCATGACCAGTGAATGCTATCGAGAATGTGGGACTACACTGAATAAATCTATTGAGTATGGAAGTTTTGTGTTTAAAAAAATCTCAGTAAAAAAGCACTAGAACCACCATACAGTATATATCTCTATGATTATGATATGTGGAGTAGCTTAGGAGGGAACCTGAGAAATGGTAACAATATTTGGTTGATGCCGGAGTGGGAAATTGGCCTGGGAAGAAAAAGTATCAGATGAAAATATACTTTTCAGTGTTCTCTTTGTATTTTTTGCATTTTGAAGAGGTTTTTAATTCTGATGAAGTCCCAATTCATCCATTTTTTTTTCTCTTACAGATCAGCCTTTTGTTGTCTTAGCTAAGAAATCTTTAACCTATGGTCACAAAGATTTTCTTCTGTGATTCCTTCTTGAAATTTTATAGTTTTAGATTCACATTTATGTTGACGGTTTTATTTTTATTTATTTACTTTTAGAGATGGGGTCTCGCTCTGTCCCCCAGGCTGGAGTGTAGTGGCCACAAGATTATTAGCTCCTGGGTTCAGTCGATCCTCCATCTCAGCCTCCCGAGTAGCTGGGACTACAGGCGTGCGTCAACATGCTGGCTAATTTTTTAGTTTTCTATAGAGAGAGGGTCTTACTTTATTGCCCATGCTCATCTCAACCTTCTGAGCTCAAGTGATCCTGCCCCTTCAGAGTCCCAAAGTGCTGGAATTACAGGCATTAGCCACCATCTCTGGCCTGCCGAAGATTGATATTAGTTAACTTTCGTATGAGGTGTCAGTTGTGAGCTGAGGCTGGAAATCAATAGGGTTTGGAGGGGTTTTTTTTGGTTTTATTTAATCATGTGTATTCTTACCACTTTAAAAAATAGGACTTAATTTCAAAAGAGATTAAAAAGAAATATTGTGTAGAAATGTCTGCAGTTATAATTAGTAGATCCATTTTAGAAAGAAAAAGTTGTTTTATTTTGCTTCGTTTTGAGATAGGATCTTGTTCTGTCACCCAGTCTGGAGTGCAGTGGCGAAATCGTGGCTCACTGCAGCCTTGTTCTCCTGGCTCAAGCAAGAAGCTGGGACTACAGATTTCGCACCACCACACCTGGCTAATTTTTTAATTTTAATTTTTAGCATAGATGAGGTTTCACTGTGTTGCCTAGGCTGGTCTCAAGATGTGGGCTCAAGTGATCCTCCCGCCTCAACCTCCCAAAGTGCTGACATGACAGGCCTGCAACACTATGTCTGCCAAGAAAAAGTTTTCTTATGACTACTGTACTGATTCTAGGAACAGTCGTTGTGCTTTAATTCTCTAAGTCAAAAACGTCAGCTTCTCTTGGGCAAAAGAAGGACCATGTTTTGATTGCACTCTCTCATATGGCCCCTTGCCTTCAGCCATTTTCATAATCTAAACTTGATGGCAGTGTCTTGTGATAGGGTAAGAAATGAAAAATGGTAAAAAGCCATTTGTTAGGGTAAATCTGAACTAATTATGTAGATCAGCTGAAATAAAAAGGGTTACAAAGACAAGTTTTCTGTCTTCAGAAGGGAATGTAGATACGAAAACTTCATTGGAGACGAAAAGCTATGGATAAATTTGCATTTGCCAGATCTGCTTAGGGAGAACATACACACCAGGTGGAGGAAGTCTTCCCACACCCCTTCCAGAAGGACTGATATCCTGCTGCCAGACACATGTTGCAATATCAACAGAAGGTCCTCAGATTGCCTTCCATGAAGGAGGGGAGTGGGTCTGTTGAATGCTTTCGTTTTGTGATACTGAGAACATGTGAGCTGGCCAGCCCTTTACCAGAGCTGGGGTTAGCCTCTTCCAATAAATGCTGAAAGATGACTACTGCTTAGAAGGTGCACCTGTCAGCATGAGCCCATGTGTCTCAGGTTCTTTCAGGCCATTACCGTGCATGAATAATGTACATTTGATGGGAGATGATCCTCTCTCCCTACTCAAGTTTGGAACCATTTGACAGATAAACTGAGGAGTCAGAAAGAAATGCAAGCACCAGATTTGTACTGGGGAGAACTCAGAGGAGAAAGGGGATGTACTGCTGGGCCTTGTGAGCTGGCTTCTACTTCACTCTTGAGCTAAGCAAGCTAATACCCACTCACAGGCAGCACTGAACAGCTACACGTAGATCCCACCTTCCAAAAAAAACAGGAAGAAAAAGCCCTCTCACTGCACCAAGATCCAAAGAGAGAAGAGCAAGGGAGGGGCTGATCTGGGCATGCCCAGCTCCATCCCCCACCCATATTCGCCACAAAGGAAGGAGACGGCAAAGAGGACCCCCATCCTGGAAATCCTCCATGGGAAGCAGTAAAGGATGCGGGGCCCACTCCGTCCGTGTCCAGGGTTCCGCTGATCCTGCGTGGTCATTTTGAAGGACAATAGCATGATATTCCTGAAAGGAAAAAACAAGAGTTTCATCTATTAGGTCATCAACATATATCATGAATGACTTTAATGTCTTCTGGTTCATTTTGACATTTTTGTAAATTCTATACATCTTTTATTTACTTCCATGATAAATGTTAAAGATCAACAAATGTCCACAGCAAGGAAAAAAATCACTAGTAAATTTGTAACTTTTATATTTCTATACTTTTACGTGTTACATTAATCTTGTCTTATTCAAAATGTATTCACCACAAAAATACTTACTAATCTTGGTTTCCTGGTATGAATTGCTTGTGCTTCTGAGATTAGAGATATGCTTTTCTTCACTGGTGGCCACAATCAAGATAAGATCATGCCTAAAAGGACAAGTTAGGAATAGAAGTGTAATTAAGTATAGTCTGTGTTAGTTTTACTTAGGACTGTAATTCTTCAGCAATTTCATCATATTTAAACTTGGAAATATGCATGACTGCCGATACCACTATAGGCATATCCATGTATATATGCCTGTTACTTCCAGGCAGTCGGTCACCTTCTCTCTTCAGGCCCTTGTTAGAACCTGACAGATTTTGAATATATCTTTCTTTGTTCTTTGTAATGTTTATCTGTATTCTTCTTAGAAATGACTTTCTGGTTCAGTTATTTAAAAGATTAAGCCTTTTAGTGAAAGAAGTTCTCACCTTGGTGTCATCACTTGAGAGGCTGGGAGTGAAGAAACCCAGCTACTCCTCCGGGCTCGGCCGGGGCCTCCTGTGTGGCTCCACACCAGCCATACTTGTTACTCAGCTGGACGAGGATCCGGTGCCTTCCACCCACACGTGCTGGGCTTCCCTGTGTCCCCAGCACACAGACACTATACATACTTAGTGGCTTTTTCCATTGTTTGAAATCTTAAAAAGAAAAGGCACATTCTGGTGTACATACTACTTCCGTACATGAAGGGCCATCTACTGTATAAATCTTACAGTATAGCCATGAATTCCAGATGTGGTGTGCAACAGACTTCATTATTTACATGTTTTGGAAAAGATTAATAAAGTACAGCAAAAGCAGCTCAATGCTACAGCTGTACATACTGTACTATGTACAAGTATGAATAAGACAAGATTTTCAAAATCTTTTGAAAAGCATTTCAAGATTTTGCAGCATTTTTATTGTATTGGAAACAGTCACAGATACCATATTATAGAAAACTCTGTTTGATAGAATGCCAGATATAACTGTTGACTATAAACAGTCATATATAACCACACTGGAAACTTCATGTAGCTATGATAAATTTTCCTCATTTTTTCCTTCAGAGTAATTACATTAGATAATTGAGCTGTTTCATCTAAGAATTTATTTTTGTGGTTGTAGTCATTTCTCAGGGAGGGACCCTCATTTATTATAGTTTTCCCCAAGGCACCCTGGATAGACCTCATCCACTGCTGGAAAGCCTGGCCCTGCCTGCTGAGGGGAAATGGCTGGCAGCACTGTCTTCATTGCATCTCTTCCTTTGGCCTCTGAGGAACGTCAAGGTCAGCTGGTCAAAAGCTAAGAAGGGCCAAAGCCATTTACAACTTAGAG